GGGCGGATTATACAATAATAAAATAATGGGCCCCTGGGCACAGATATGGAGGGCCAATCCAACTCTCCTATGCAGGAGTAAGACACACAGGCTTTGTGGTGGGTTAGGGTTTCTTTGTAGGTTTTATCCACCTTTTATATGTCTCTTTGTGGACATTTTGTGTCTCCTTGTGGTTGTTTTTTGTCTCTTCAAGATATATTTTTTTGTCTTTTTGTGTCACTTTGTAGTCATTGTGTGTATCTATGTGGTTGTTTTGTTTCTCTTTGTAGTAACTTTGTGTCTCTTTGTGGTTGTGGTTCCTCAGTGTCTCCTTGCAGTTCCTATGCCTCTATCTGTGGTCTTTTTGTATCTCTTTGTGGTCATTTTGTGTCTTTTCTGGTTGTTTTGTGTGTTTCTGGGGTTGTTTTGTGATTCTATGAGATAATTTTGTGCCTTTTTTAATAATTTTGTGTCTCCTTTAGGTTGTCTTTGTCTCTTTAAGGTCAGTGTGTGTCTTCTTTATCCTTAAGCGTCTCCTTGTAGTTATTGTGTGTCTCTATGTGGTTGGTTTGTGTCTCTTCTGGTTGTTTTGTGACTCTTTGAGATAATTTTGTGCCCTTTTTTTTATCATTTTGTGTCTCCTTTAGGTTGTTTTTGTCTCTTTAAGGTAATTGTGTGTCTTTTTTATCCTTAAGCGTCTTCTTGTAGTCATTGTGTGTCTCTATGTGGTTGGTTTGTGTCTCTCCGTAGGCTCTTTGTGTCTCTTTGAGGTTGTTTGGCCCACTTTTGAGGGTACTCAGTGTTTCCTTGCAGTTCCTATGCCTCTATTTGTAGTCATTTTGTGTCTTTTCTGGTTGTTTTGTGTGTTTCTGGGGTTGTTTTGTGACTCAGATAATTTTGTGCCCTTTTTTTATCATTTTGTGTCTCCTTTAGGTTGTATTTGTCTCTTTAAGGTAATTGTGTGTCTTTTTTATCCTTAAGCGTCTTCTTGTAGTCATTGTGTGTCTCTATATGGTTGGTTTGTGTCTCTCCGTAGCTCTTTGTGTCTCTTTGAGGTTGTTTGGCCCACTTTTGAGGGTACTCAGTGTTTCCTTGCAGTTCCTATGCCTCTATTTGTAGTCATTTTATGTCTTTTCTGGTTGATTTGTGTGTTTCTGGGGTTGTTTTGTTACTCAGATAATTTTGTGCCCTTTTTTTTTTATCATTTTGTGTCTCCTTTAGGTTGTATTTGTCTCTTTAATTGTGAGTTTTCTTTATCCTTAAGCTCTCCTTGTAGTCATTGTGTGTCTATATGTGGTTGGTTTGTGTCTCTTCATAGGCACTTTGTGTCTCTTTATGGTTGTTGTGCCCATTTTTGAGGTTCCTCAGTGTCTCCTTGCAGTTCCTATGCCTCTATTTGTGGTCTTTTTGTGGTCATTTTGTGACTTTTCTGGTTGTTTTGTGTATTGTTAGGGTTGTTTTGTGTCTCTTTGAGATAATTTTGTGCAATTTTTAAAATCATTTTGTGTCTCCTTTAGGTTGTTTTTGTCTCTTTAAGGTAATTGTGTGTCTTCTTTATCCTTAAGCGTCTCCTTGTAGTCATTGTGTGTCTCTTTGTGGTTGTTTTACCCATTTTTGTAGTTATTCAGTGTCTCTTTGCAGTTTCTTTGCATCTCTTAGTCTTTTTATGCCTTTTTGTGGTCATTCGGAGTCTCCTCCTGGCTGCTACACTACAGTTTGACATTTGACATTTTGCAAGTGAAGGCCAGGGGGCCCTTTGACACTCTGGGCCTGTGGTTCTGTACCAGGCCAGTTCAGTAATCCATCTGTGGTTTTCATGTGTCTTTTACCCAGCTTTTCAAAGTTTCACTCCGCCTCATTTTGATGTATTCTCTCGTCTCTATTAAACACCCCTGCTTCATATTTCTGTGTGTGTCTCAAGAAACCTCTTCAAATCTTGAGACAGAGATCCCTGACCAGCTCTGATCCCAGCCTGGGGCCGACAGGATGAGTGAAGAGGAAGAAGTGGAAGAGAGGAGCAAGACTGAGAATTTAATAGGCTGAGGGGGGGAACGCTGTCTTTTTTCAAAATAGCTGTCTCCCACATATCCTTAACCCCTCTTACAAAAACATTTATTCTAGCTGGACTGATACTTTTCATCTTCCTCTGACACCATCTGTTTTTGTTTTATGTGTGTCTTCACTCCCCAAAACTCCTCTGCACAGCTGCCTCTGATAAAATAAGCTGGAGAGAAAATCAGGGTTTGGCAGGTACAGGTAGCACCACGCGCTCTCTGTGTTTCCTTCTGCTTCATTACATAAGTTATGTAATTGTGGGATTTCCATAGCATGTTAAACAACTTGTAGCAGATACTGTGACGCCTGGAGACAAGTCCCTTGGAAATAAACAAGGCGGTTTCCGTTTGCTGAGAGGTTTGTATGGCTGTCAGGTCTTCCCCCAGACTTCCTTTAATCCACTTTTAGAGCTGTCGAGCTTTCCATCATCTCAAACATGTTTTTTTCCTTGTGAGTTTCTTTTTGGAGCCATCAAGTTTTCTCTGCTTTACTGTCATTCGCAGAAGCCTTGGTCTTCCCTGTCTGTGTGTATCTGTGTGTGCCCGTACGGGCTGTGGGAGGATTAAGTCTCCCTCAGAGAGTCATCTGTGGTTTCCACTAGTTACAACACATATCACAAGAGCCTGTAGAGAGGACTTAAATGTTTGTTTGCACGCGTGTTTCTCTCTCTGTGTGTTCGTGTACATGTATCCCAACCATCTGACTCTTGGCTGCAGCAGCAGAGAGGAGGTGTATTTGTGGGTTGTGGATTTCTAAATTTGAGTTTCTGTCTTGCTACATGGTTGGTTGCTAGATGTGTTACATGAACGTATCATGAGGAGATCCCATGTTTGAGCAGCGGAAGTCTTGCTGGCAGCGAGGGGCACTATGAGAGTCACTACTGGTGTTGTGTGTGAGTGAGAATTGGGCCGGTGAATCACTGGCTAGTTTTGGAGCTGCTGTAACAGTATTTGCATTTCAGTCATTCTTTAGAAGAAATCAATACATGTAGTTGCTTCTGGTGTCAGTGGAGCTAAGTGGAGGGCATTACAGGAATAGCTGCTTGTATATATGAAATCACCTCAGAGGTTTTGCATTAGAAGAATTTATCATGACCTGGACTTGCACTCATTATTCTTCATCAAACATGAATTCACTTCCTCTACCCTCTTCCTCCTCCTTTACCCCTATTTTTTGGGAGACATTATAGAATGGAAAAGCACCCTCAGCCATGATTAACCCCCCTCTGCCTACAGGATCTACAGTCAGTGTGTGGGTGTGTGTGTGTGATCATGTTAGTGCCAGGACGTGTGTCTGCTTGCCCAGCCAAGCCTTGGGACAGTCAGACACTCAGCTTGTCTGCACATACAAATACACACACACACACACACACACACACTCCACTTCCCCCGCAGCTCTGGAGCTCTGAACCAGCTAACCCAGGCTGGGCTCCATCTCTGCCCGAGGGAAGCCCTCTCCTGCTGGGTCCACAATCCCGCTGACACCCCATGGTCTGGACTTTATCCACTCCATCTGTGAGGTTGTTTTCTAAAGTTACCTGTCTGGGGACGCGGCTAAGCGGAGACCACAAGATTAGACTGGCTGATAAGCTGGTAATAATTCTCTACTATCTGACAAAAGGCAATCAGTACAACAGCGTGCCTAGACAACAACAGCCTGCAGGAACACCTCTCTGCACAGGGTTCTCAGATGACTGAAACACAACCACTGGGACGATGAACGCCAAAATCTTGTCAGTATGTGACATATAAAAGTAATTTGTGTCTGAAGCATAAGTGCAGCAACATATTTACAGCTCACCGCGACAACAGACAGTGCAAAACCATGCAATTTAGCAGCATACAAAAAAACACAAGTTGACAAACTTGTATTACAGCGTATAATAACAACCCAACACATCAACACAATATAATTGCAACATATAGTGCATCATAACACAATGCAACACAACTGAACAACAACACATGACTGTTACGACATAAAAAACCACATTCCAACAACAACAGACACCAACATATCATAATGGCTGTTGAAACTTACATTAATTATCAAAATAAATAATCATTTTTCAGTGGGAAAGTCGGCTACCTTATTTCTGTATTTCTATTTTAGGCAAATGTGTACTGCTGTTTTGCCAAATCTCACTGACAAATATTGCACTTTTTACTCCACTACATTTATTTAAAAGCTATAGCTAACTGTCAGATTAAGATTTTAAATTAAAAACATATAATTAGTGTGTGAAATGACTCATTATTGTAGATTAACTACCCAAAAGTGTATAAAGCAGTTCAAATGAGCGTTAACATTTAAGTTCTGCTGACTTCATCTGATAATATCATAACACAGGCAGTGCTGACATTCTGCATAATGATTTTTAATGATGAATTATACTGATACTAAGTACATTTCAACACAGAACACTTTGTTTGCAATACTTCTGTATGTTTTTGAGTGCCAGACTTGTAGGCTAATACACTATTTGTACAGTGTGTTATTATTACTTTAAATTATCCATTGCCATTTTTATGATTAGATGTTTTTAGATGGTCTTGTTGTGCATATTCCCACTTGTGCTTTTAATTGATTTTCTTTAACATCTTATAAAACCTGTTGACATGATTATAATTAAGTTGCTCCTAAGTCTGAATGTCCTTCAAATGTGTGTTTTTTAACTTCTGTTTTCACTTATGTTGTTTATAATTTCTTATCTTATCAGATTAATGTTCCACTCTGACTTATATTAGTTTAGTACTCTTCTATGGTGTTATTAAAGCTCTAGTAGAGTTGTTTTTGTGTTTTGTGGTGTAAAGAGTGAGCAGCTGGAGGGAGCGTCTCCAGTGGCTGCGCTGGGCGGGGCATCCACTTTGCTTTTTACTGCTATTGGTTGGCGCCGCATGGAGGGGTGGAGCCACTGCCAGACAAAACAGACAAGTTGCGCTCCTGTGAACCAGTCAAGAGTTGCAACAGTGTTTGGTGAGACTCGTTAGTTTGAACAGCTTTGATTACTACTCTAGGTGCGTAAAATCCACTGTGCGTATTTACGCATTTGAATCTTCAACAGCAGACGTATTTTAGAATTGTCGCTTACTAGCTGAGCTTGTTGAGGTTCCTTTGGAGAAGAGGAGATATGGATTTGGTGTATCTGGTGTGTTTAGCGCTGAGCATCGGTGCTTGGTTCGCCTGTGCGGAGAGACACAGCGTCTACTGGAACGGCTCGAACCCAAAGTAAGTCCTGGTTTGTGCTTTTGTGCGCAAAAATGCTGCGTGTGTGTTTGTGCCTGAAGTTAATATGTAACTAGTAGTGAAGTGTCAATCACTGCTGTGTGTGTGTGTGTGTGTGTGTGTGTGTGTGACTGTGTGTATTCCATGAGGTCCCCAGAGGCGAGTGTATGTCATTTTACTACTTTCTGAAAATCTCACACATGTAAAGTCCCCATGTTGCGCGCAGTGTCATTACCCAAGGGCCCCGAGGCTGCGCACGCTCTTAAACTGCTACAACAAAGCTTGTTGTTGTTGTTTTTTATTCATGTGACAATTAAAGGTTCGTGTGACGTTTAAGGTGTGTGTGGTCTACCTTTTAAACCCGCCTAACAGGATTGCGATCAGGGTATTAGACTACACAGCAGCAGCGGGGCGTAAAAGCAGAGGATTGTGAGCGGATGCCCAGACAGATGGACAGATTCACCACTATATTTAACCGCAACACATAGACACAGACATACTCTAATAGTAGAAAATAGACTGACGAGTATGAACTTGGCCAGTGACGCTGTCTGTAGGGTCTGCACCTGTGTGTATATGTGTGTGTGCAGTGTGTGTCATGGAAAGTCTATAAATGAAAATCAGTGGGTTCATTTCGTAATCAGTTTTATAGAGATGCATCAGGACTGTCAGTAAAGTGTTTCTTCATTGGGGAAGATAGTGATAGTGTGTGCAGTGCGTGTGTGTGTGAGAGAGAGGCACATATTGCTGATTATTTTGTTCTGAGGTCAGAAATGTAATGCTATCCGACCACTCAGTGGGATCGATGGAGCTTGACAGACGCGCAATATCGCAGCGCGATTTATTGAGCTTTTAGCGTGGAGCGAGTGATCCCCCCACCACGCTTGAAAGACAGTATTATTTTATAACCGAGCTGAAACAGAAGGACGGTCCCCGCTCCTCTGCTGCCGAGAGAGGTCGATTAAAATCCGCCACCGAGACTAAACAAGGGCAAAAGCCATTATGGCCTTTTAAATCTTGTCTTGATTACATTACTGGCTCTCTAATTGCCCTTTAAGAATGACAATAGACGCGGGGCTAAAAAGGAGCCCCCGCAACAAGGCAAACAATTGTCCTGATAATTGGATAAGGAGTCTAATGGAAAGTCCTGTCGTCATGAGCAAGTGCTTGTGTCATGGGTTAGTCCATGCGTGACTCACCGGCCGGGTTTGACCCACCTGAGTTTTACACCTGAGTCACCACACACACAGAGAGGGGAGGAACTGTGGTTCAGGTGAGACTGAAAGGAAAGGTAAGAGAGGAAATGTGACACCAAGAGGCTTTTTGGGGGTCTGGGTACAAAGAGGAAACTGGGGCTCCAAGTTTTAGTTCAAATAAGACAAAAAGAGAAGGGGAGCGGGGGTGGTCTGCTGTCTCTAATCCGGCCCTGGACTATTTCTGCTGTCAAATGGGAGTTGTGTAACCAGAAGAAAAACCATAATAATACTCTAATCCCTTTTGCTGGATGTCTAAACATAGACCCTGACACAGACAGACATAAACTTCACACACATCACAAACATGTGGCTTTTCTGCTTCTGTCATATCTGTCATACTTCCAGTCAACCGAGACCGTTCTCATTCTCCGTTGTTCGCTCAAGAGCTACAGGGAAATAGTTTCTCAGCCACAGAAATTTGTATCAGGAGGATAATGGCAGCTAAAAGCCAAAATGAAACCATTATCAGTTGACCCCCACATGCTACTCGTATTATATTTTTCTGGCCAAATTTAACAGCCTAATCTCCATTACTCCTCTGTAATCCCTCATTCCTCGACCCCCTCCTTTACCTCTCACTCCTTTCTCTTCTCCTCCATGTTTCCATCATCTCTCCTGTCTTCTGCTTTCCAGCACCTGCCCCGAACTGTTCCCTGTTCCCCAGTGATCAATCAGTCACCTGTTCGGAGGATCACATTGATCCATCAGCGGGGCTTTGACAGCAGCAGGCCGTGGATAATTGATGCTAATTGATTCTTAGTCTGATTGTGAGCGGCAGTGATTTGTCATAGGTGGAGGACGGTGACCAGATGGCAGCAGTCTGCCCATTCATGTAGTCTGAGGAGTATAGACGAAGTGAATTAAGCTGGCAGCAGTTTAGGTGTGTGTGTGTTTCTCTGAACACAGTGTGTGTAGGAGCGTGTATGATTATCACCAAGCTGTCAGTGCAATTTAATGTAAACCCATACTCCAAGTCCCTGTAGGGATGTGATACTCTGAGTGAGTGTGTGTACAGTTTTTTTACATGACAGGTGGAGAGGCATGTTTTTCTAAGTCTGGTCCGGTCTTGTTTTTACAGTACGTGTCTCTGCCTGTGTTGATCATATGAGCGTGTGTGTGTGTGTGTGTCAGAGACAGAGATAGAGTTTGAACTTGTGCTGCCCTTTAACAGCTTTTAACGGGAAGTGACTTTGTTGTTGTTGTGGAACCGAGTACGTAATTGTTGATGTGTCTGCTGTGTGTGTTTGCCCCAACGTCAGAGTAAGATAAGGAGTGGCTGTTACCGGAGGCAGTCTTACCGAGACGTGATAAATGTGTGACTCACACTTACACACACTGGGGGGCAAGAGTGAGGACTGGGATGTTAATATTAGCTACAGCCAGCATTCCTCTCCGCTGTTACTATACTCAACTCCGTCAGCTGTGTGTGTGTGTGTGTTTCTCTCACTGTACCTGTCTGTTCCTCTCCCCATGTTCACTCCTCGTTCACTCTGTAACAGCTGGGTTCCTCCCAGACTGGCCCTGAGCCCTCCATCTCTTTCCCCCCTCTACTTACCGATTCAAGTGCATACAAGATCTCTACTTTTCTGCACAGATGTGCTATTAACACAGTCTCCTTTATAGACGCTATCTCTGTGTTATTTGGCTGCTTTCATCCAACCCGGAGTGGCCCGGCTTTATTTCTCATGCTCCCCCATATCTGTGCAAATATCTTTATCAGGAGTTTGGTGTAATGTAATATTCTGTTTATCTCCGTCGGAGTCTGGCTCCGTCTGCCTGTGCTGTTATTGAAGCAGCCAAGCCTGCCTGTACACGTACAGTACATGTGGCCTGGAGGATGCGTCCCCCCCCAACATGTACATTTTATGCATTTTGTTCCCCCTTCTGTCTGTCTCCCTTTCCACTCATTACGTTCACCCCTCCCCACCCCGTGTCCCGTCTGGTTGCTGGCCTCTAATCTCACCAGAATGAGAACACACACACTTACGCACACACTAACATAGATTACAGACGGCTTGTAATCTGACCATCTGACCCATAGACACAAACCCATCATCCTGCTGGCATTCTATATATATATTTATGATCCTGTGATGTAACTTCTGTCTATTTCATTATGACCTCTTTCATCTGTTTGTGTGTATCTGGGTTATTGTGTAATCGTTACAACATATATATATATATAAGTTGCTTAATAAACCTGTGGATGTCAAAGTGGATCTCTCCAACCATAATCACCCAGATGTCCTGTAGTGCTTGTAATTGATTGTTGTGATGCATGATGGATCTCTGCATCAGAACAATCAATTACGATCAGTGCAGGACATCTCCACTTATCTTGCTGTACATCCTTCCAATTTAATATCAGAAGGCTTTGTGTGTATTCCCCGCTGATGTAACCGTTCTCTTACCTAACACACTTATAGACATACTTTCATGCATCGTAGCACCCAGCAGCACCTGGGAACTGTAGTGACTGCATAAACTACAGTTCTGTTTGTGTCTCAGGTCTGTGGACACCCTCCTCCCCCGTCACAGTATCCATGTACTTCTGTTTTCTCTCTGCTCTTCCTCTCGCTTCCTTATCTGTGGTCCAGACTTCCTCCCCTCCCTCCATCCGTCCCCCTCTTTCTCACAGACCTTCCTCTGTCTTGGCCCTCAGTAGTTTTCCACCGGAGGAGGACAGAGCACCTCTCAGCCCTCGCCTCTGCTAACACCAGAGGGGCCTGCTTTTGCCTAGCGTTATCGTAGTATGTGTGGGCAAGCATGCGTGCGTATGTGTGTACTGCTCATTCATAGCATTTCAGGCATACTTTGGCATTGCTGTCCACTCATAGCCCACCATCGCCCTCTAAAGGGCAGAATTGGCAACAGCTTTCTGTCAAATGGACTCCAGTTGGAGTATTTTAAGGATGTTTTGCCTTCAAAACTTCTTTCTCACATAAGACAAGTTAAATATTTAATGTGAATTCTTAGAAGTTACTGAACTTGTTCCCTCTCTCTCTCGCAGCGAGACAGACACAAGCGAACAGATTAACTCCCCGCGACCCCAAAACATATTAAACCAAGCATGATACCATTTGGCCTTCTTCTATTCATCGCAGACAGAATGGGAGGCTACAAAAAGGGAGGCCGGGTGAAAAGATTTTGGGGGGGCAGAGAGGCGGAGGAGGAGGAGAGGCCCGGGGTGCAGGGTGAGAGAAGGGTGAACTGGAGAAAGGGATTTGTGTTGAGAAATTAGCCTGGATGAAGAGCGCTGGTATATTATGTCAGCGTTAAGAGACAGGAGAAAATAGAGGAGAGGGAGAGGGGGGGATGGGCCTATTTTTGGAAGAATAAAGGAGAGGCAGACGGAGGGAGGAGAGAGTGGACAGTGATGGATGAAGGGAGGGGATAAGTTTGGAATTGAATAAGTGAGAAACGGCAGGGTTGACAATTTTAAAAGCTCATCTTCCAAGGACCAAAAGGATTCTCAGTGTCTTCACTATATTATGCATGCGTATATAAGCACACAGATTAACATGTAGTGGAAACTATAGAGTTGAGTGCTGGATTTACGGTGTAAGTAGGGACAGAAGATCTTATTGGTGCCTAGCAGAGGACGAATCCCACTGGGTTTCTTATTGCAAGACAATGAGATAGAGGAAGAATGAGGGTAGATTACACTGGAAGCTAATATAGAAAGACTTTTTGGTGTATATTAGATTGGCTTTAATGGAGTATCCCACCAGTGAGCAGCTAAACCCATTAGAACCACTGACAGCTCCTCAGCTTGCGTGAAAGGAGGTGTGAATCTGCCATGCCACAGCAAATTAATAGGGTATTAAGTTTACACGTCAAAGTAAAAGTGTGTGAGAGTGCGCCGGGAAATTTGATGAGTACGCCTTGTGAGAACATCGTAAACTATCCAAACCGCAGCCCCCCTGCACACCCCCGATGTGACATTCCAGTGTGTGCACACTTACTACTGATTACCTGCAGAGCAAATGGCGGAGGGGATGCATCTGTTTGGTGTTTCAGTGGTGCTGACTCGCTACATGGGTACGTTGTGTGTAATAAATATCTTCAGCGCTGACTCAGACTGTAGCGTGCGTGAGTAAGTTGCGACCCTGAACTCTAACCCCTCGACCCTGGCTGGCAGTTTGAACTGCTCCCCAGAGGGACGGTGAAAGACAGAGTTCCTGTGTCAGTTGTTTGATCGACACCAGTGAGAGCTCTGGGGACAAACTGCGGGGACAGCAAGGAGAAGACGAAAAAGAAAGGAGGGATGGCAGGAGGAAAAAATGGATGAGGTTTTAGAGGACAATAGCAAGACTTCAAAGCTTAAGTGAGGAGGACAAGTGTTGGAGGAGTCACCTACTGTCTTAACACAACCAGTGCTGTAGCTGTTACCCTTATAACACACACACACACACACACACACACACACACACACACACACCTTGCCCACTGACGCAAAAGCAAAAGTAGCTCTGTAGTGTGAGTTGACCTGTTTGCGGCAGAGAGGAAGAAAGACTACAGCCACCTTCAACCCTTGCTGTTTGCCCACACTTCAGTCACATGCAAGAAAACACACGCACACACACACACTGAAACACACAAGAGGCTTCAGTAGGCATTGATAAACAGATGTGCTCATGAGCCCGGGGCATGAGACGCCCTGAATAAGGGTCTTCAGAGAATCCCTCACACACACACTCATACACACACACACACACACACACACACAGACAAACTAACTCACAGGAAGAAGAGGCTGTTTGAAAAGTAGGTTTGCAACAACTCACACACCTGGCCCTCACTCTCACATACGACATAGCTATCACGTTAATGCGACTCTCACTCTCCCGAGAGCTGTCAGTCAGGGGCGAGAGCAGACGCAGGGAGATACAAGAGTCTCCAGGAGTGGAGAGCTTTGATGAGTGAAACGTAAAGTAGAGGGGGCAAGGAGGATGGAGGGGAAAGACACGGGCTTTGCACTGTAAAAGTCTGACCTAGTTCAACAGGCATCCATAGGGCTATGGTTTTACCAGAAAGGAAGAAGAAGCATTTCTAGACAACTCAAATGCAACTGTGAACGCACTAAAATACCCTGACAGTCATATGAGCACACATATAACACACATCCACAGCAGTCAGGGCAGTGAAAGCTCCACATGGGGTAAGGTACAGGGGTTGAAGGGGCCCTGTAGCCTTCAGGCATTCTGTCTTTGGGGAGGGAAAGGGTTTAATTACACCTCATTTATTCCTCCTCCCCTTTCTTTATTAGAGAACACGTTGGCCCCAGACCCCTAACAGCTTTTAATTAGCCAGACCAATGGAGGAGAGGAGGGGGAAAGGGGAAATAAGGAGGTGAAGAGAAGGATAAAAGCAGAGTTTTCTTAAAAGCACGAGTTGTGAATGAAATTAGCAACAGAATCTATCTGTTTTGTTGGCTTCTGACAAGCCGGTGTTTTCATGCGGAGGTCGGCAAGGCCGCTAACAAGGACGCAGTGTGGGAAAAAGGTGTATCCCATGCAATTTAAAACTACTCTTCACTTCAGAGGGAGCAACTAGAGATCTCCAAGTGCCTTGTTTTCTCCGGCTCTGTTATTACTGGTCTGACTCAAATAAAACGGAGCAGAGAGGAACAAAATGAGAGCAGAGATTATTTAGCCAATTAGGCTGCTACAGGCTGTGTCTCTTTCCCTTTCGTTGAAACACTTGAAACACAAATACAAACAAAGGCGTGCACCTACACAGGAGTGTACACAAAGAGCCTTTTCTGAGAGAAAGCAGTGATTGCATGGGGAGGGTGGTGATCAGCCTGTTAGCCCTGGATAACAAGTGTAGAGTTGTGCTCGGCTAACAAAGCATGTTTTGACAGGTAGGTTTGCGCTAACTGATACACACACACATGCAGAGGCAGGAAGGAGGGGTTAGAGGCCCAGATTTGGAGCCAGCATGTCTGTGACTTGGCCAGGGGGGTCCTAACAGGAGCCACAACAACAGGACAAGGGGGGCCAGGGGCCACCGCGTCCCACACTTTGAAGCCGAGGCACAAACACACAAAAACAATGGCAGACATGCAGGGGCTGTTTTCTTGTCACTTTCACTCTCTGCAATACTCTAAACACAAGCATCCACAAGCAGTCATTCAGTTTAAACACAGATTAGATTTGAGGATTAGAGACCTGTGACCTTCCAGGATGTAATCAGAGTGATACACACATATCAATCTTTCTTCACCTCCTGTCATTTGGCTGATCTCACAGCAGTAGCAACTACCAGCAAGCTGCAAAGCCCAAATTGCAGCCTAGCACCGCCTCACCTGCAGCATGTTTACGATAAAGGAAAGACTCAGTAGTAATGAGAAAGTGAAAGCGAAGCTACCAGGAGTTGCGCATAAATTCATTTCCTCCTCTGCCCCAACAAAGTTGTCCCTTCCTGAGTCGTAGCTTCTTATTAACAATCAGTAAAAGTTCTGCTGAGGTGAAAATTTAACAAAACTTCCTGGAAAGTGCTTCAGACTGAAAATCATTGCTGCAGATGCGCAGAGCAGGATTCCTACCTATTTTTTACCGTCTCTTCATTAGGACACCAAACAAGCACAGGAAGTGAGCAAAGAGGAGACGGGGAGGCTTAAAAAGAGCCATAAAACTAAATGAAGGGTAAGGATGAAAAGAGGGAAAGAGAGCGACAGTCTGACTGTCTCCACCCACTCTGTTTCTGTCTTTGATGAAATCAGGGAGAAATTGAGAGACAGTCTCACATAGAGACAGCAAATTAGTGTGAGGAGTCACAACAGGCGCTTCGACACTGACGGACAAACATCCAGGTGAAGAAACTAGTGGCACAGAAACAGTTTGAAAGGATGAGACACTGGGTTATACAGATAGAAAGGTGAACTGGCAGAGAAGGTGAAAACAGAGATTTAGGAAATCTGTTAAAGAAGGTGTGAAGTGAACTTCTGCTGCAGGCAATAGGGAGGAGAGCAGGAAGGTGTGTGTGTGAGTGGGATGGCGGTGAGGCTTTATGGGATTCTGGGTGTGTTTCCTCGTCTGTAAACAAAGTGAACAAGTCTGGCCTGATCAGGCTCTTTCTAATTCTGTCACAGTGATGGGTTTGCACAAGTATACCTAAAGACTTCAACACAAACAACCTCAAGTGTTATCTGACTGCCACCTTTGTAGCTCTACCTGTGTGTTAACATGTTATTCGCGTGAGTGAGCCTGCTTCCTGTCGCTGCGCGTGTCTACGAGTGATTAGCCCGCTTTGTTATTTGCACTGTGTGTATTGAATGAGCCAGCCTCTTAGGGTGTGTGTTGAACACATGTCCTGACAGACAGTATCTGTTATTCATGGTGTTAATTCTGCAAAATAAAAGAAAAACACTTCCATGGGTGAGGAGCTTTGTCAGTAACCTCCTCCTTTCTTCCTGTCTCCCTGCAGCTTCCTGTGGGACGAGTACACAGTGAACGTGCGCATCAACGACTATCTGGACATCATCTGCCCCCACTACGCTCACGGCGAGGTGCCATCGCATTCAGCCGAGCGCTACGTGCTGTACATGGTGGAGAGGGAAGACTACGAGGTGTGCAAGCCTCACTCCTTCGACCAGCTTCGTTGGGAGTGCTCGCGGCCATTCGCTCCCCATGCGCCTGAGAAATTCTCTGAGAAATTCCAGCGTTTTACTCCCTTCACCCTCGGCAAGGAGTTCAGACAAGGAGAGAGCTATTATTATATCTGTAAGTGTCAATGAAAGGATTTTTACCAACGTATTCTGATCCTGTGATGGTTTCTTGTACTAAAACTTGCCCCTCCTTTTCACTCTCCACAGCCAAGCCAATGCATCACCACGGCCAGGAGTGTTTAAGGCTGAGAGTGGATGTTGTCGGGCATAAAGGATCTGGAAAGCCCAATCAAGATAAATCCAAGGCGGAAGATACAGGAAAAAGCTCAGATGGGGGAAAAGGGAAGTTTCCTGCTGCTGCTGGAGGAGTTCACAACCCATCTAACCGGCTCCCAGCAGGTGAGGATTCTTCTGAAAAAATACCAGACAGATGCAAAATAGTCACAGCAGAGGAGCTCAGCTGGGTGTGTTTATCCTGCCTGAATGATGAAATCTAATATTGACGCTCCCTCCCTTTTCTTTCCTCAGATGACCCTGCTGTGATGGAGCCAAATGTCCAGAGGAGCATCGGCAGCTCAGGAGCACAGTTGGTCTCCTTGTCGCTCTTCTTCACCACCATCCCAGTCCTATTAGGCCTGATGCTACACTAAGGCTGAGCTGGACACCACAGCAGAGACAATGCTAACTCAATGCTGGTCATTGGGACCACAAATGAACTCTCAAATACTTTTTTCTAAACAGATTTTTTTATACAAGAGTGGACAGTGTGTGTTTGTGTGTGTTTGTTTGCGTGAATGTGGAACGTGGATCGTTCCAAAGAAGAGGACCTTTTTTTTTTATGACTTTATAATGAGGATGGAAGTTCTCATTTTTAAGATGCACTCTTTTTTTCAGTCATTACAAACAAAACTGCGAGCAAACTGATCAAAAATACATAATGGGTAGTATCAAATTTGAAGAATGACAAGAGGATTACATTATCTTCGTTATCCTGTGTTTTCACCATTGGTACAGAGTTGCATTACACTCCTCATCTCCAGGTGTTAATGTCATTTATTTTTCTTCCTCTACATGTAGAGACATTATTAATTCTGTGTAGTGGAAATGTTGTCGTCGACTGCCAAAGTGGTATGCATTATGTAGGATTTTTTTTGTCATGTAGTTGTGTAGCACTCAGCTCCCTGTTAAATCTCCCTGAGTCTGTTATATCTATTCAAGTCTGTCAAAGCACCACTGATACAAAAGCAGTCACTGTGGTTTAGATGAACACACACATTCAGTTCAGTTATAAGACAACACAAGAAAACAAATAGTCTTATTCAGACCAGTGGTTCTCAACCTTTTTTTTCTGCCTTTTTTGGCTCACAAGCCCTTAAAGTGATGCCTACAGCTGCCCATGCAGATTAAACAGTAAAGTTAATTGTGCTTTTTTACGTTTGATAATATTAAAATTTTGATTTGGATCCTGCCCAGGGACAACAGATGCAAATTAGCCACTAGCTAACTCTGTTGCAATTACTTTTAATTGTGCGCCGTGCCTGCAAAAACAAACAATAATAAAATACATTTATTTTTTGTGTCACAAGTAGTCACTAGTCGATTACGTGTTCTCCGGAGGGATTGTGACCTGAGGTTGAGCGCCATGCGGACACATTAAGATACATTATATAACTAACAGGGGTTTTAGGGAGCTGAGCTTCTCCAGTGCTTATGGTAATTCACTCATTTCTACTGTACATGGTACACTGGTGTGCAGATGTGGTTCCAATCGCACATTGTCAAACCTCAAACTAAAGGGAATTCCCAGAATACACTTACAGATGTTTGTTTTCTTGTTCTCGTGTCATTTTGTAAATGTTTATATGTAAATGTGTATATAGAAAAAACTATAAGAAACTGTTTTATGATGTGAAAAAAATCTTCAGTGAAATAAAAAAAAGTGATGTAATGAAAATCTTTGTCTGGTTTTTATCATCTCTTGTGTTTATTTGGGGTCTTGAGAGTCCACTGACATCATTGAGATTTTGATGGATGATACAATATTTTAAAGCGATCCATCTCCACGTGTGATGACATCTCTCCATTCGCCTCCACATTTCCACCCCCAGGTCTTTCCCAACCTCTATTCTCATCCCCTCTTCTCTGCCCTCTCCCGTCTTTCATCCCTGGTGACACGGCCTGCCCTGGCTTAGATTTCACAGTCTGAAAACCAAACACGAGAACCGAGTGGGGGGACGATGAAGGAGTGAGAGGACAGGATAGTGCAGCGAGAGAGGCCCACAAGCAAACTGACAACTGGGTGTGAAGGTGTCACTCTCGCCTCCTCACTCACACCATTTTTTTCCCCTTTCTTTTACTGCTCTGCACATGCTCTTTAGAGGATCCATCTACACAGTGGTGTGTTGGAATGAAGAGGAGCGCAGCGCACACACATACCTTCATACCTGCAAACCTCAGAGCTGACTGAAAACTGTTAAAAGTCACCATCCCCTGTAAAACCACGCAACATATAGATTCAAAACCAGGGCATAAAACTGAGTTGTTTGTCTTTCCATAATCACGTCATAGTTTAAATTTACTGCAGATAATCACACGGTCTCAGAAATCTAGCACCCATGTATCTGTGGAGGTCTGTGTAGTAATGCATGCTTTCACTGTGCCTCATGACACAGACCAAACATGGTGGTATTCACGGTAATGTGGGCCTCGGTAATGTGTCGTGGTGTCATGCAGCAATGTGCAAAAATGATGAAATGCAGCCAGACTAAATCTGTGAGATTTAAAATTAATATAAACAAGGGCGTAGGTTTCATTTCAACATTGGGTGGAATACATATGACACAGGGGCTTGGGGGTCCTCTGCCAAAAGAATCTGAGCATATAACACTTTTTTTTTTTTGCACCAATTTACGCATTTTCTGCATAAGTTTAAAGCGTAAATGTTTTTCATTTTGTCAAAATAAAAGTCATCTACCACTCTCATGTTTTATTGTAGAGGCAAATGCACATGTTTAAAATATTGAGCAGGATGTGTCCCCTGCATATCCCTCCCAAAATCTGCACTTAAAGGTTCAGTGTGTACGATGCAGGGGGATTTAGTGGCATATAGTCATTAAGGACTGCATATTGCAACCAGCTGAAACTTTTCACAGCTAGAATTCCTTCAGTGTTCACTGTTCAAGAGGTTTTTACCGAGAACCAAATTATCCGCAGAGGTCTTCTCCTCTCCAAAACAAATGAACCAGGTGCTTAAAACTGATAAATACACTGAATAAAGCGCTTTCACATTATAAATCAGTGTTTCGCAGACGCTGTTTGGCATGTCAGAGATAGGCGGTTCGCCCACCACATGCTAATGTCTGCTGACCTTTTTTCTGATCTGATCTGATCTGATCAGGTTTTCACTGGGAGCTGAATTATCTACAGAACTTTGCATCCAATTATCCTATCCAAAACATCCAGGCCGGTGGTTTAAACACCGAATAAAGCAGTTTCACGTTGCAAATCAGATGCTATTTGGCATCACGGGTGGCTAGCCCAGCACCTGCTAATATGTGCTCATCTTTTTTCTCTGATAAGTTGAGATCCAGATGTTCAGGAGGTTTTCACCAGGAGCCGAATTATCCGCAGAGGTCTCTTCCTCTCCAAAACAAACTGACCTGGTGATTTAAACACTGCATAAATAAGTTTTACATTAATAAAAAAAAAAAAAAAAAACAGTGTTCCTTCGGTGCTGCTTGTTGCAGGTGGGCTTCTAAATATGGTGGCCAATGAAAAATGTGAGCCAGTGTTTGGTTTGTCGATTCTGGGCTACTGTAGAAACATGGTGGCGCAACATGGCAATATCTACAGACAACAATCCACTCCCTGTGTATGTCAAGGTGAGGTAAGGAAAACATAACAGTTCTTACTTTCAAGTGATTGTACATTAAAGAAAACGTACTCATTATCTGTAGTATATCCCGTTGCTGCCAATATATCCCCCTAAATCCTACACACTGGACCTTTAAGCCTATAAAACCTACAAATGTCAGGTGATGACGAGTATTCAAAGTATCCAAACTAAAAGCACCCATTGTGAAATAGGGTACCAATCAGGGTATGACATTACTGATGCATATGGTACATCTACATGAATCACACACGAAAACACTTAAATTGGAGGCAGTGGTAGCAAGGAAACTGGAGATCCAGAAACTTCCTACCTCCAGTTTCATGCTTTCAGATTAGTTGGAGGGTGACGTTCCCTAAAACTGCAATGTTTTCATGAATTAATGTTAATATTATGTAAAATCTTAATCTGCAAAATGTCCAGTAACTGCAGCCATCAGACAGTTTCAGAGTGAAAAGCACAACTGTAACTCTGTAATGTAGTGGGTCAAATATTATATAACAAAAAATGCATCTCAAAAGTTGACTAAATGTAAAGGTTGTTTCTAACAATTACAAACAAAACAAAAAAGTGTATTTTTGAAATATATTTTAATTTTTCAGATGTCTGGAATTATGGACCATTTGTTATTGGATTACATTTGAAATGTGTTTGAAAAGACAAAGCCAGGGTTATCAAGGCTAGACAAAGTTTTGTATAAACGACCTTTACGCATTTAAAGGACCCTTGAGAAGCTTCAGAAATGACAATTTAATAACAGAAACTAGAGACAAAAAAAGCATCTATGTAGAAATGACATTAAAAATAATGACATAAAAGATTAAGTGGGAAAAAATTAAATGTCAAACAGAGGCAAACTTTTTTTAAAAATGCTAGAACTGAAAGAAAATGAAGGAGAACAGCGGAGAAAATTATACATCAAAGACTTTTTTTGAAAGGTCAAGTTTGAGAGATTTTTGAAAAGTGTAAGTGAAAAAGGGTGCGCGTTAAGAGCTATACAGCGATGAGGCTGCGCCGCTGAAAGGCTCATCCACCCCTGCAGCTCTGATGTCCTGTCTGCTTGACAGGGAAGGGAGGAGTCAGCTGATCACACAGTCCATGACAGTGGACGGGAGCAAGAGAGGTGAGGATGGACAAAGGAAGTTAATGAGGACTTTTAAGATAATTAGCATGAAATTCACCTGAACTTTGCTAAATGGAAAGGCAGTGGTAATTTAAAGATCTAATTCTCAGCATGAGATATGATTCCTCATTTTGAATGCTGGATTTAATATCCATGAAATAACACTCTTCAGCTTGAATGGTCCACTGACTAGTTGAAGAATGATATATGGGATGAAGTGAATCACACTGGTGCACCCCAGTGGACTGGATTCTTAATTGTTATTTTGAACAGTAAAATTGTTGCATTGCTAATTTGAAAACCCACAGTATATGCATGGAGCCAACAAACTGGAAGAATGGCACAATAAGATTCTCCTGCTACAAGTTGTACTGATAAACCAGTGTTTACCTGTGTTTTTCAGCTCATGATCCCTCATCACAGGCTGCACATGGTGGCCAATTCAAGAGTTAAACAGCTAAACATGACATGACATACACAGCTCTATAATTGCTATAGCAAATGATAAAATAAATAAAAAATGGTGGTGGTTAAAGTGTTGCACTGTGTAGATATTGCACATGATTATTGTTTGTTTGGTGATCTTACAGCCCAGGGAAATAAACTGTTCATTAGTCTGGAGGTGAGGGCTTTCAATGACCTCAAACAGATAATGTGCTGGGTGGGAGGAGTCACTGAGGATTGATCTGGACCTTCTGAGGCAGCAGGAGCTGGAGATCTCTTCCAGGGAGGGCGGAGGGCTGTCTATGTTTATGACCCTCTGTAGAACCTTCCTGTCCGCAGCAAAGCTCCCAGCATACCAGCGTATGCTAGCGATTTAGTTTTGCACTCTCAAAAAGTTGGAGACCTCACTTACTGAACCGGCCTACAAGAGGCCCACTGGCCTTCCCCTGCAAAATGTTCCTGACATTAACATGTACCGACCAGGAAGAGACTTAAAATAACTGCAAAGGAACGGCAAAGATATGCAAAATAACTACAAAAATGGGCAAAACAAAGAGTCCAAAGCGACAAAATGACCACATAGAAACAAAAATAGACTACAAAGAGATACAAAACGACCAAAAAAAGACACAAACAAACCACAAAGAGACACTAAATAGCAACAAAGAGACACAAAACAACCAAAAAAAGACACAAATGGACCAGTACCGGACACAAAAGGACAGCTGAGAGAAACAAAACGACAAAAAAAAACAAAACAGAAAATGACCACAAAGAGACACAAAATAGCTACAAAGACACACAAAATGACCAAAAAAGACACACAAAATGACCAAAAAAGACACAAAACAACCAAAAAAGACACAAATGGACCCCAACCAGACACAAAAGGACAGCCGAGAGAAACAAAATGACCAAAAAAAGACACAAAATAGCTACAAAGACACACAAAATGACCAAAAAAGACACAAATGGACCCCAACCAGACACAAAAGGACAACCAAGTGAAACACAATTACCAAAAAGGGCACAAATGTCCACAAAGAGACACAAAATAGCTACAAAGAGACAAAAAAACTACAAAAAAGACACAAATTGACCACAAAGAGTCACAAAATAACTACAAAAAGACACTAAACAACTGAAAAGAAACACACCAACCACAAAGAGAGAAAAAAACCTCCATAAAGTCTGGTTGTCTCGCTCCTATGTAGGCGACGTGGTGGCGCCTTTTGCACATCTGTGCCCAATGACCCATTGTCTCATAATCCACCCATAGAAAAGACACATTACATCAAGAATAAAGAAAATCAAGTGTATGCAAGTCAAAAACGTCTTTAAGGCCTTTTTCATCTCTTTCAAATCCCACAGCACAAGTTTGCAGCACAGGCTTTGTTATATAGTAATGCTTGCATACATATTAATATATGTGTGACACAATATAGCACATTTTGAAATATATATTTTTTTAAACCTAGGCTGCACCTGCTTTTGAGAATCTCAAATATGCAAATATCTATTTGCTTATGGGTCAGCTCATCATGCCTCCTCCTCTCTATTTTTCTCAGGTGATGCTTTTTTATCCTGAATGAAAGAACACTTCATTTCTATGAAGAATAAAGTCTAGCTGACTTTGACTCCCACTGTATGAGCTCTCCCTGCACAGTGGCTCCTCTGGCAGCCCTGCATCCATCACACTGTAAGATCAAAAACTATCCCTGAATTCCTTCCAAGTCTTTCAACGTGATGACGTCAGCGGCGGCGTCCGCTATCGTTTCAGCACCCCATTGGAGCAAACCCACCCCACCTGCTTCGCGGCGCAGCCAATGAGCGCGCAGAAACATTGTGTACACTGATTGCAAATACGGAAATACAGTGAGATAAGCAGGGCGTCCGCGTAGTTTTACTCCGTCTTTTAATTGCATGCAGTGTGTGCATCTTTGGTGAAAAGCAGACATTGCACGTGAAGTACACCTCCGGGTTGTGTGTGAGATTCTTCTTCTCTCCTTCTATGGATTTATTGCCGCTTCTGTCATGGGCCTGCATCGTGTTCACAGTCGGGATGTTCTCGACTGGACTGTGAGTTCAGTTTCTCTTTAGTGACATCATGCTGTTAGGGAGATTTTACATTCTTATTTTCATGCATTAGGTTTACTGGTTGGGAGGAAGCATGAGAGCAGGAGGATGAAGTGTGTGAGCCCATGTCAGTGTCACAGTGATGGGGACATGTGAGGGAATGCAGTGTAGTTATTTGTTTGTTTGTTTCCAGGACCGACCTGAAGAAGATGAGAGAATCCAAAAGTGCTGACAACATCCAGTTTCTCCCCTTCCTCACCACATGTCTTAAGTGAGTGGTGTGTGTGTGTGTGTGTGTGCATATGTGTGTGTGCAGTCCAGACTATTATTGTCCTGCCATGCTGCCCCTGCACATCTAATACTCCTCTTGTTTCCATAGTAACCTGGGCTGGTTGTATTATGGGATTCTGAAGAAGGATCAGACAATCATCCTGGTCAACGTCATCGGAGCTCTACTCCAGATCCTCTACATCATCGTGTACCTCCACTACACCACGCAAAAGGTCAGCGAGGCCCCAGGTGTCGACCGAGGTCACGCAGAGAGGATCCACTTTTATTCGAGTGTGTTGTTTGTTCGCACAAGTGCCTGTCTTCATCTGCGTGTGTTTGTTTGTGTTTGTTTTAGAGGCTGGTGATATCCCAGACTCTAGCTGCAGGGGTGGTGCTGACCTGCGGTTGGTTCTACTTCACAACAGTTCTTCCCGAGGGAGAGACTCAGCTCAGCCAGCTCGGCCTCACGTGTAGCGTGGTCACTGTCAGCATGTACCTGTCCCCGCTCACCGACCTGGTACCTGCTCACATCCAGTACACACAGACAGCATGTGTAAAGTCAAATGAAAAACATAAGGAGACAAGAAAACATGGTCTAACAACATGTGCTACTCAGTGGTGGAGAGTAACTAAGTACTTTTACTCAAGTAGCTACTGTAGTTAAAGGAATGTTTCTAACACAGAATGACCATTTGTACATCAGTCATGTTGTGTTACCTTGAATTTGGGATGAAAAATTGATTTTCTCGCATGCTTCCATGGAAAGCCGCAAACAAATTGATTTATTGGGAACATATTTAACAACTGCAAAACTATATCAGTACATCTGTTTACGAAAAAACAACTCACACAGTATAATCCAAGTCACATTTATCCAGTTGTAGTCGATTTAAAAAATTACAGTTTTAGCGAAAATGCATGTGTTTGGGAAGCACTGAACATACGACTGGATAAATGAGACTTTTAGCCCCGTTTTAACCACGCTGACGTTTTCAGAACAAAGTAGAACAGGCTGCCGTGAAAGTCTCTTGATTGGATATTTAAAAATAGTGGGTTTGTGCTTTTAGAGTGACACTTAGAATTTATGCAGTTCAATCAGGAGAGACTGTTTTTATGGTAAAAGAATATTTATTAACATGTGACTGTATGAATAAGAATGTGGAAAGTCTTTGGCGATTAGACCCCGTAGAGATGATTTGATTTAAGGAGGGTGATGAATCCATAGTCGAATAGGGAACCCCCCCTGGGGTCTAGATGCTGGTGGTGGTAGAGGTGGTGAAGATGAGATGAGAGAAAGATGGAGAAGTGCCGATGATCAGGATAAGTGGAGGAATGATTCTTTGAGAGCTTGTCCTGGACTCTGGATACGATGGCTGGTGTACTGATGGATTCATGCCCTCAACTCATGCATTGAGTAACATAACAAGTAAACGTTCCACCTTAAAACTTGCCGGCAGTCGGCCCTGTGAATTATTTTATACCATGGTCTGGGTGAATACTCTTTTCTGATTGGTCGGCAGGTATGCGTTAAAACCCTTTAATGCACACGTAGTTCGGCTAAACTTTATAACTGTCTAAATTTAACCAGCCTGTAACCATAGCAACATTAACGAGCGCAGCTGTCAAACTGTCAACTGCCGAGGGACAAAAAACACTGCAGCTGTCAAACAACTTCCGAGGGAAAAAACAAACAGAAATGGCTGATTTTAACATTTCTTTTAACTTATTTGGAGAGTACAAGGACTTTGAGGAATGGGATGCCGCAGAAGAAAAAGAAATGGAGAAGGAAAGAAAAAAATCAAGCGAAAAACGGCACAAGGAACTCCTACTCCCATCCTACTGTGACTACTGTAACTGGCATGGTTGTCATGACAATGGTAAGCTTTTGTCATGACAATGTCATGACAATGGTAAGCTCTTGCTTCAAAAACTTTCGATTTTGAGTACAAAACTTTCACCAAAAGTTGTCGAATCCTTTTATTCCTATATTCTTGTTAAATGACCATGGTATAAGCGGGTTAATCCACTAGTAGGTGTGTTCCAAACGGTTTTAATGCACGACGTGGGGGCGAAGAACTACCCGACGCACAGCAGAGGGTAGTTGCCTCCGTGAAGTGCATTAAAACCGTGCATTAAAACTTACTTCACTCGGCAAAATATCTTTTTATTTTATAGTTACAGTTTACTAATATATGTAAAACTCTCCACAGTATGAACAGTGGTTACATGAGCCTCAAAACCAGCCACAACTCAGCCCTGAGCAGAGTTACCATCCTCTATTGACCAATCAACAGACTGCAATGTTCATAGCTCCACCCTTTTTAGTACCAGATCTGTGTGCTAGGTACCCCAACAGAGGGGGGGCCAAAAATGGGGACGGTACAGAACGCTTCCATTGGTTCCACCAAAACCTTTTCACAGTGGAAACGGAAAAAAAGCAAACTGAACTGAACCGTACTGCTTGGTGGAAATGGGGCTTTTACAATTGATCATTTTATGGGGTAATATTTCTTTGTGTACAGTTTTGAGCGACTTGCATTTACTGGAGTATTTCCATTTTCTGTCTACTACACGACATGTTATAACCACATTTTGTTCTTTTTATTCCACCACATTTATTTGACAACTTTAACATCTAGTTAACTTGCAGATTAAGATTAAATAGGGTTAAACAAATGTGTATTGTAATAGGTAAGATAAGTGCAAATCTCTCTTGGTCCTTGGGGTAAAATTTCCAAGCTACCTGTTGTGTTGTGCTCGTCCCTCTCCTACACACCTGTTTGGAAATAGATGTGTGAAGTACTCCTTTGTTCTGTACACATGAATGCATCCATAGTTATAATCCAGTAATATGATACATATATTAATCTAAAATGGGCCATTCTGCATCATGAGTAGTTGGACTTTTGGTACTTTAAGTATATTTTATTGCTGATACTTTCGTACTTTTACTCAAGTAAAATCTAGAGTATATCTACACTGTGGTATTGCTACTTTTGCTAAAGTAAAAACTTAAGTATTTCTTCCACCACTGCTGCTAATATGCACATTATCAAAGTGACATAAAGACGTGATGAAACAGTTAGAAGCTTAGTTGACGTGTCTATAGACAGTTAAATTACCAAACTAATTTCAGTCTTTCAAAATATGACGATTTGATGCTCATCTGTGTTTGATATATCACAGTTAATAGCTTGTTCTGTGGAACCAAAATAGCAAGTTTAATTAATCAGTCAGTTGTGCACCAGTTTACCAGTTGCAATCCTAATATACTTACATCAAATTGATGTTCATGGCATGGTAATAGCAAGCAAGACAATGCCTTTTGATTTTATTGTAATGTTTCCCTAATTATTGTCATGAGATTTAATTAATGTAGATATATTTTTTATCACAATAATTTGTTGTTTATTCATCATGCAAACATTCTTGTGATAGAGGGTAAACAATGAGGTTTGTGAGTTACTGCTCAGTTCAAACTGTAGGCAGTCATTCACGCGAACTAGTCATCATGGCTGTTTTTCTGCCCATTAAAATCCAGAAAAACCGGTCAAAGACAGATATTTGCATTTCTAACTGCAGCAAATATATGCCACTGGGTTGTGCAAATAACCTACAGAGCAGAAAAAAAGACTTGTGAATATTTGTTTATGCCCTTTCACCTTTAAAAAGACAGAGCCTCATAGAAAAAATGCATACTGTGCAACCTGCAAATTTACGTGTTTAGGCAACCTGTTATTTCTGAGCACTGAGTGTGTTGTTAAAGCTGTTTTCTGCAAGGGTCACAGATCATATAAACTTGACAATATTCACTTCCAAACGCGACTGTAAACAGCACACTGATTTTCTGACCATATGCCCCGCTGAGCTTCTGCACAGACAGCAGGCAGCATCTGTTCAGTTCAGGGTCTAAGTATCTCCACATGTCAACGCTGCACGTGCAGCTATTTACCAGTTACGGCATAAATCCCCTGTTCTCTCTCTTTCCTTTTGTCTCTTTGTCTCATCTCGTCTTGACACTCCGTCTACTATCCTGTTTGTCTCCTTCCCTCCATCTGCCTCTCAGCCCCAAATGACCCTCGGTCAGTTTCCTGCCTTTCTTTCCCTCATCTGTGTCTTCCTGTTATTCTCCGTCTGTGTCTGTTTGTGCCTCATCCCCTCAGTAACATTTTGTTTCCTCCTTACAGTTTACATTATTTTATGTTGGCACTTATTATTCAAAGACATGACAGTTGTTTAAATACAGAGATAATAGCACACAATTTCTGTCTGTCTCTGATGGAAGGAATTTATAGTGTTGAAATAAAAAAAAAAGTGACAGAAATAGATGTGTAGAAAGGGAAAAAAGTTTATTTGGTCACATCCACACACCTGGTCATTGCTGCTTTAAGTCAGAGATGGTGTCAAATACATAAAAAGATCTTGTTACAAATTACAAATACTTGCAATCAAATGTATTAAATTAAAATACAAGTAATGTGTAATTTGAAAAAACTCAAATCTGATATTATTATATTTTAGGCATTTTGTAACCTCAGTATCTGTCCATCAATCTGTCTTGTAATAAATAAATAAATAATTTTCGGTATATCTGGAAGGTGGAGGAGGCTCCAAATTTAGAATTTCTGTTTACAGTTTAAATCTGGGGATAAAAATGTGTTTTATCTGGAAATAAAATGGCATAATAAATAATGGATTATAAGTATTTTAAATAGACAAATACAAGCTCTTGAGGTATTTTGTTACAAATTATATCTTATTTTTTTCTGTCCAGCAAAATACAAACACAAAACACATTTAAAAGTGATTAAATATATATTTTTTAAATACATTTAAGTGAAATTTATCTCTGCTTGAAAAAGGTTTGAATGTGAAATTGCCATTTTTGGAACATAACAGAAATTGTCAGATAATGCTTTTATTGAAGCAGCATTATTTATTTATTTATTTATTGGTGACTTGGAGGCAGCAGAACAAGCTGTAAACACAACATTGACATATTATCAGCCATATTGTTTTGGCAAATTTACAATACAAATTTACGCATCCAGCAACAAAAGCATTCATTTCGAGTCGTGTCTGTGGCCACCTGACATATTCACTCTCTTTTTAGTTCTGTGTTTGGTCTCCACCGACTCCTGAGGGAAATGTGCCGCTCTTTAGCTGCTAAATGCTCCACTGTGGTCACTTGCTACTTGCTAACATTGTCTGTCTGCTGTTTGATGCTGAGCAGGTAGTGTACAGTTAGTTATCATAGTTTTTTCTGCTGGAAGCAGGGACGATAAGAGCAGTGAACCAAAACAATGAAGCTACCAGATGTGAAACCAAAACACTGAACTGATAGATGCAGAAACACTCCATACAGCTGGGTGAAACTGCACAGTTGGTAATTATTGTTTGCTGGTCACTGCAAATGACACCTTTCACATCACACATAGTGAATTGATCCATTTTAAGTGTAAAAAACTTTGTTGACTGACTGTTGCTGTCCTCTTTCTCTCTTCCCTTTAGGTAAAGATAGTGCGCAGTGGTGATGTGCAGTGCTTGTCCTTCCCTCTAACTGTAGCAACCTTCTTCACGTCAACCTCCTGGGTCCTGTATGGCCTGCAGCTGGATGACTACTATATTGTGGTAGGACACAGTGAATATGCACCTGAATCACAGCTTCAGTAGTGTTTCTTAAAGGGATAACAGGTTATTTTTCTACCTTTCCCCCCCCCCTATCATTTCAAAGTGGTTTTGGTAGTCATAGCTATATATACTGAACAAAAATATAAATGCAACACTTTTGTTTTTGCTCCCATTTTTCATGAGCTGAACTCAAAGATCTAAAACATTTTCTATACACACAAGACCATTTCCTCACAAATATTGTTCACAAATCTGTCTAAATCTGTGTTAGTGAGCACTTCTCCTTTGCCGAGATAATCCATCCCACCTCACAGGTGTGGCATATCAAGATGCTGATTAGACAGCATGATTATTGCACAGGTGTGCCTTAGGCTGGCCACAATAAAAGGCCACTCTGAAATGTTCAGTTTTATCACACAGCACAATCCCACAGATATCGCAAGTTTTGAGGGAGCGTGCAATTGGCATGCTGACTGCAGGAATGTCCACCAGAGCTGTTGCTCGTGAATTGAATGTTCAATTCTCTACCATAAGCCGTCTCCAAAGGCGTTTCAGACAATTTGGCAGTACATCCAACCGGCCTCACAACCGCAGACCACGTGTAACCAAAACAGCCCAGGACCTCCACATCCAGCATGTTCAACTCCAAGATCGGAAGACGAGCATGCAGATGAGCTTCCCTGAGACGGTTTCTGACAGTTTGTGCAGAAATTCTTTGGTTATGCAAACCAATTGTTGCAGCGGCTGTCCGGGTGGCTGGACTCAGACAATCTTGGAGGTGAACATGCTGGATGTGGAGGTCCTGGGCTGGTGTGGTTACACGTGGTCTGCGGTTGTGAGGCCGGCTGGATGTACTACCAAATTGTCTGAAATGCCTTTGGAGACGGCTTATGGTAGAGAAATGAACATTCACGGGCAACAGCTCTGGTGGACATTCCTGCAGTCAGCATGCCAATTGCACGCTCCCTCAAAACTTGCGAAATCTGTGGCATTGTGATGTGTGATAAAAAAAAACATTTAAGAGAGGCCTTTTATTGTGGCCAGCCTAAGGCACACCTGTGTAATAATCATACTGTCTAATCAGCATCTTGATATACCACACCTGTGAGGTGGGATGGATTATCTCGGCAAAGGAGAAGTGCTCACTAACACAGATTTAGACAGATTTGTGAACAATATTTGTGAGGAAATGGTCTTTTGTGTGTATAGAAAATGTTTTAGATCTTTGAGTTCAGCTCATGAAAAATGGGAGCAAAAACAAAAGTGTTGCGTTTATATTTTTGTTCAGTGTATATAGTAAATATAACACTCATGTTCTCTGGTGCACCTTGGTATTATACAGTGAAGGTTTCTCCTTTACACTGGTTACTCTCTTTACAGCCATCTGAAGGCAGCAGGTATGTGTTCCATCTCCAGTCTCTAACTGGAGTGATGTTGCCGCTGTTGAACAGCAATTACGCACGGCAGATCTGCTGCTTACATTTAGTGCAACCAGCATGAGGCTGTTGTAAAATAACCACAGACCTCCCCCTGTACTTGTGTGTGCATCAGACATGCCATATTGATGAATTATTCTGCACAGTTTCTTCTGCATTAACAGCCATGTTAGAGGCGCATTTAAAACTGTTAAAACAAGCTCTATGAAAAATTGTGAATCTTTTAAAACTTCTCGCTCTGCTTATAACTCTCTAATTACCACAGGTGTGTTTGGCACGCTCCTGATGCACCTGGTCACGCGCACCTGACTGTGATCTGGCCGCGCCGCTTGGTTCATGATAGTAGAGCCTGTGGTGTCCTCTTCTGTGATTCTCATTGCCACCCGTTCCCGCGCAAGTGAATCATAGTCAGACACATCTCTTAAATAGGCCACACCCTAATTACACAACTGGTAATGATTAGATAATCACATGAAGAGGCCTTCAACACAAAAAACAATGACAGAAGCTACAGCCAATCAAATTACTTCAAAACAAATGCCAATAGCCACTATATATCATACCACATATCAATTTAACATGCCTTTTAGAGTCTCGCCATATTCAGAAATATTAAAACACAAAAGGATTAAATATATTTAAATAGCAAAAGTTAAGACATCAGCTCAAGGTGAACATCAATAACAACTTTATCTAAATATCCAAGAAGCAGAGGGACATTATGAAAAGCCTTTCAAGTCATAGTCTATAGTCCGTCCATGAGTTGACAGGGTTCTCAGATGGTGGGTGTAGAGTGTCAAAGACATGACATTCCTGGAATTTAACCCCCTGTTGCTGCATAGAAAGATGTTTCAGCATGGTCTGGCTGGAAAGGAAGACTCAGGGAACCAGTCTAAATGCTGATGTGTCATTATTCCAGGGGTGGCCAAACTTTTTTGACTGTGGGCCATATATCGAAAAATATAAGGAGTCACGGGCCAGACGATAGTAAATGCATCTTTATCAACCACTTACACAGCAAAAAAATCTGTGTTTCGAGACCAGAAAAGACCGTTAGTTGTAGAAAATTGATTTTCTATCAAGAGTACTACACAACTCAGTAAATAGGTTAAAGTTTGACATTACAATCATTTATTGGTGGGCCAATATAGTACACAAAGTACACTACTTCCTGTCTTCCATGTTTTCAGGTCCGCCGCCATGTTTACTTAGTTAAATGCTTTTAGAACATGGCACTCTTAAATACTTGGTCAATCAACAAAATTCTGCAGTGTTTATTTCTTGAGGTATCACCGCTGCTCTGCTGCTCCGTTGCTAGGGACGCCATAGCAACGGCCTTAGACTGAGGAGCATCAAAATCAGTTAACGTTAGTCCACATAGGCCAAATAGGATCAGAGTGGCAAAATGCAGCATTTTCATCTAAGCCTCAGACTTACTGCTCATCAGGTCATTGGCAGCGCTGTGACCAACCACAGCCAGTGGGCTGGTAAAAAGAGGGGAAGCGTGACCTGACGAGGGATGCGTTTAAGCTGAAGACAGATGAAAATGGAGTGGAGTATCTTTCCCTTTCCGACAACCCTGAAACGAAACATCACTAAGATCCCAGAGATCCATGCAAACAAATTTACAGAGGATGCGTATTCAGAGAGCCACAAAACCCAAATTGTCCCGTCAAATTTATTAAAAAATATTTATCTCTATATTTTATTTCTATATTTTAGTAGTAAGCCATGTTCTAAGCGGGATAATGTATAGTGAGCCAATGACAGTTGAAAAATAACTCCCGACAGGGGAATGCCCCGTTGGGAGTTATTTTTCAACTGTCACCGGCTCACTATACATTATCCCTTACTTAACGACTGCTAATCAATCATTGTAGGGGAAGCTGGGACATCTCATGTTGAAATTAAGAAGTGCAATGACAGGGCTTGCTTGTAGCAGTTGTTTGAGATGAAAGTTAACTTTTAAAAACTGGCCCGCAAGCCATTTAAAAACAGGCTGCGGGGTTGTAGTATGGCCACATCTGCATTATTCTATAGCTGTCACATTGTGCAATCAACATTTACGTCACAATGATAAGTTAAATCTAAAAACGTGTCTATTTCCAAGTTATTATCCTTAATTCTTCTTCCTGTTTGTGTTTATTCCAGGTTCCAAACACACCTGGGATCTTCACCAGCCTCATCAGATTTTATCTGTTTCGGAGATTTGCGTCTGTCAATCAGAGCTCGCCGTCCTATAAATCTATGCAGATATAAGGATATGGGGGGGGGGGGGGGGGGGGGGGTGGGGGTGGGGTTGGGGGGCAGTTATGAAAAGAGATGACACATCTGTTGACGCTGTGGAGGGCTGCAGCGAAGATCTCCCATCACCTGTCTTGTACTTTTAATCATACAGAGAGACAGTGGAGAGAAACAAACGGCACCACTGATGACGTGGAGACAATGTAGTGTTTGTCATCATGTCCGGGGGGGGGGGGTTATAAGTTATTAAGTAGAGTGAAAAAAAAAAAAGTCTTTGATTCAACTATTTTCTGTCTGCAGCTATTTGTTAAACCTGTGACCTGTGTTTCCTCTCCGTGTCCTTCAAGTGCCTTCTGTTAGATCCTGTTTGCCATTAAAGATTAATGGCAGTTACTGATCTACCAACATGTCAGGAGACTCGCAGTCCGTCTGTAATCCAGTGAGTCGGATTGAACCGTCCTCACCTCATACTAGCCAAAGATTTTATGTAAGTTGTAACTTGCTGGCTGCTATTTTTAATATCACATATAGTCGATCTCTTCCCTGGTACTCATGTATGGAATAATGTAGTAAATAGTTTCATATTTTTCCCTGGTGAGGCACAGATGATTTCATATCCCCTTTAGAGTTGGCACTCATACTGTGCAGATAGAATATTGAGTCATATCTGTGGCAGTGAGTCATATTTGTTCAGAAATTGTTTACAATATATTTTACGTCCGAGTCTTTTGGTACAGAATGTGTATGCTGGCTCATGTCTGAGATTAAATATCATCTACTTATATTGTTAATGCTATTTTTTATAAGCAATTGTGTAAGAGATTAAATGTGATGAAAGACGATATTAACACCACAGGATTTGTTTATAAGAACGAATGATGTTTATTTTTCTGGTGGCTGGTTGGGTAATAGAGTGTCGCTTGTCTCCTCATTATTTTCTGTAATAAGGACGTGTGCTGTGCGAATGAAACAGCTGAGTGTCAGTGCTGAGTCACTCACTTCTGAAGGATGTAAGATCATTGAATAAAAAATACATTTTTACCACAACCATTAATGACTTTTATTCGCTGATTGTTGGTGAAGTTGTAAACATGGTGAACATGAAGGATTTTTTTTGGCTCAGCAAAGTGAGAAAGCTGCACTTGACCCTTTGAAGTTGGAAGATTTGTGCTGTAGTTGTGCTGGAGGTTTTGTTATGGATGCAGTAATGAGCGCGTACATGCAGATGTGTGGAGATAAGCGTGTGTGTGTGTGTGTGTGTGTGTGTGTTTGGAGTGGTTGTGCAAGAAGAGACAAAAGCCTGTTTGATGGTGCAGCAGTGCGAAAGAGCTTGTTTGTGTCAGTGTGTTGATATAGAGAGGGCAGTGGTGGGAAAGGCCACGCCAGAGGTTCTCATCCCGTGTGTGTGTGTGTGTGTGTGTGTGTGTGTGTGTGTGTGCATTACATTGGCCTCTCTTCCTGAGCTCAAAGAGCCTGCCCCTGACAGAGAGCACACAGACACAACACTGTATTGTGCTGGAGTTGAGTGTTATGTAGAAAAAGCTTAGCGGTGAGGAGAGGTGGGAGATAAATGAGCTGCAGTTGAAAGAGGGAACAAGAAAGAGAAGGGGAAACATTTGAGCAGGAGACGAGGAAGGAGAGGGGAAGAATATAGAAATGAGACAGGTAGGACACCCGAAAACCTGGGACAAGAAGAAAAGTATTCAAAGTCTGTTGTAGCATAACAAAAGTTTAGTAACATAAGGGGGATACTCAGCTTGCTTTCATCAGGGACTTTTTTGCAAAATGACAGGAGGCTAAGGGCCAGTTGGTAGAGTGCTCCAGGGATGACGTTTTTCTGTAGGCTGACACTGAAGTTAGCATCACCCTGGTTCTCTCGACAAAAGCCTTTGGGATTTTTTCCATTGGATTTTGATTTATTGCAGAGAAAAAACTCTGTGGCAAAGAAAAATTTATGATACTTAGCTGTTTTGTTTAGCAAGATAATCCTCACAAATGCACTCCACTTTAATGATTGTATAAGCCTAAATGCAGGCACAGGAGGTAAAGCTGTAACATTAGGCTATCAACAAACTACACCACGATCGCATGAATTAACCTCCCTACCACAATGAAGCTGCAAAACTGCATCTGGCACGATGATGTTATTTAGCCATATGTTAGCAACTGACTTTTTAAAGAACTATTCGGACGGGATTAGTTTTACATAGGGATGTGGACTGATGTCAGTTTACTTACAGGATGTCTGTAATATAAATGTCCAATTCGCACGGGACAAGAAATCGCCGTAATTCTACCAGAGATGGGAGTGGTAACTCGATTTGCACCCTGGCGTCACCTCCCTGTTGGCATGTGCGTGCTACGTTGCTTCCTGTAAGCATCAGCTGAAGGATAATAATGATTAATGATTAGCCCAATATGAAATATTGCCCAAGACAAGGATTGTGTGTACACAACGATTAGCAATATGGATTTATATTAGGCCTACCTAACACAACCAGAAGTCTCATGGCTCTGAAAAGTCCTCTCGACCTTTTTGATTGGTCTCCCATGTAGGGCTATGCGATCATTAGAAGAATGTCCAGAAGAATTTTTTTTTTTTGTTTGTTTGTTTTCCCCCTAAATTATTTATTTATTTTCCTGTGTTTTTTTTTTTTTATATACATTGGTGGTTGGCTGTGGGAGGGAAAGGATGGGAGGTTGGGGATTACAATGTGGTGAGTTTTTCGGGGGTGGGGTGGGGGTTTGTGTGTGTGTGTGTGTGTGTGTGTGTGTGTGTGTGCGCGTGTGTTGGGGGGGTGATCTTGATCTTTACCTTGACATAGTCATCTTGTTGCGCTGGTTGTATATGCAATATTTAGGGGGGGGCAGTAGCTCAGTCCATACAGACTTGGGTTGGGAACCGGAGGGTCGCCTGCTCGAGGCCCCGTCCGGACTAAATATGGAGCGTGGACTGGTGCATGTATAGGTCCTGTTTGTGCATGTGTGTCTTTCAGACCTGTGTGTAATTGACAAGCAAGAGTGAAAACATTGAATTTCCCCACAGGGGGATTAATAAAGTAAATAAACTTAAAACTTAAACTTAAACTTATGTATGTTGGTACTGTTTACATATTAAGAGAGGTAGGATTGTTTTGTCTGCTGTCTTTGTTTCCTAATTGGATGTTATCAATTTTCTTTTCTTTTTTTCTTTAGTTTAAGAATACCAGTGAACATTTCTTCCAGTGTGACAAATAGAATGTGAATGCATGACGAAATATTTACATACATTTTTACAGAGGATCAATTAATAGTACCCGAGATATTTTCTCTGAACCATTTTACAGAAGGTAAAAGTCGTCGAAATTTTTACTGACATTATCCGTAATGATTACAGACATGGCGCGTTTGTACAGAACTAAAATCCCTGGTAATAATTACTTTACCCCACGTCTCCATGTTAAACTAATCCCATCCGAATAGGAAAATTCACAAGTGGGGTATTTACTGACGTATTTTGTGTCTTAGAACAAAAAGTCTCTTAAGCTTGTTCTTACCACAGACTTAATTTCAGGCTTCTGAAAGAAAAATCCACTGACTTTTAGGCGAAAGAACCGGGAGTGCTAAAATGCAAACTCACTTCAGGTTTAAGGAGTCATTCCTGGAGCACTCTATAAACAAACATTAGTAATATTTATCTGATAAAATGAATAAACAAGGCAAATCCAGTTGCAGCAGCCCCACAAGGGGGCTTTTCTAGGATTTAAGGACATTCGGGGGTTAGCCTGGACCCCTGATCCTCCTGTGGCACTTGATGCTTTTTTAATGCACTCTGGCACCTTATTTACATTGAGAGTTTAAAAAAAAAGTCCCAGTATGACTCCATTTATTTTCATAGTATTTGTATTTGTAGGTGTCCTGCATTCTGCTCCCCTGCTCTCCCTGAGTTTTCCCGTTCTACCTGCCAGCCACGCCCTCTCATCAAGACAACTCCACTCACCTGTGCACACAGCTGCTCCTCATCAGCACTCCCTGCATATAAGCAGCCTTTCCTTCAGTGCCAGAGTGTTCTTCAACCTCATGCAAGACTTTCTAGCACTGCTTACCGGCCTGATCTTCTGCTACCGACCCTCCCTGTCTACGTCGTCTGTCTCCAGTAAACTCACCAGCCTTCTGTCCCCGACCACGAGTTTCTCTAGTTTCCGTCTGCCTGTGGCTGTGTGGTGTTTTCTTGCCACAACGTTTCAGCATGAGGGTTCCCACCTGCTTGTTGTCTCTGCCTGCTGTCGGACTGAACTGTTCGGATCCGAGGACTTGGACCCTGAACCCAGAGACTGTGTGGGTTCTGAGCCCAACGAAAGTACTTTGAGCTCATGTTCCTGCTACCTTGTGTATAAATAAAGGTCATTACCAGCTGTCAATGAGTGCTGCGTTTGGGTTCAATCACACATCGTTACAGTAGGTTAGGTAAAATAGTGATTTTACCTAGATGCTTAAAAGGTTATAATTTAGCGCCTTAGCATGCTTAGATGTGCTAGTTAGCACTCAACAAAGTAAAGCTGATGTGAAATAGATTATCAGGTGTTTTGTCACATTAAAATACTGGACACATTCATTTTAATTTTCTTTTTAATTTTAATTTAATTAATTTTGACTTGATGGTGGTGTTTGATAAAAGGCTGGGAGATCAGCAAAGTGAAGACAACAATGAGCCCGTTTATATGCACACAATAAACCGATCATTATCTGATTTCTGGAGGTACCAGTTTATTCAAGTGGTCATGTAAACAGCATAATCCAATGTGCTTTATCAGATAAAAAGCCATTATCGGATTATGAGAAATCGGATAACACATCTAGCTTTTCCCCAATAGTCTGTTTTATTCGGTGCATGTATAACATTAATCTGGTATCTTTTGTTCTTTTACATCTGCACGTGTGAAAAGTCGTAGAAAATATGCCACTCGCATTTCCAGATGTACAGGGGGACGTACTGTCATCTCATCGGGGCTCATGACATCCTTCATCAGATCACACAGTTTCACAAATGCTCTCTGAGACATCCTGAAATTCTCTCTCCATTCTGGATCTGAGAATTCCTTGAGGACCACTCTCTCCCACCAGTCCTTGCTCCGGACGCACATCCAGCAAGCACAGTGTTTTGGTAGGAGTGGAGGACCCATCATGCTGAGACCAAGGGCAGATGCTTGCTGAATGAAAGCCCATCATCGTTTTCTCCTCATTGAGAATAAGCGAAGGACAGCAGTGGTGTGTAGCCTATTTTGCAGGCTTAACAGCTCCCACATAAAGACAGCCCTGACCGTTAGCGTCGCCTCCATATTCTTCTTATTCTTCTTTGTGTAGCATTGCCATGGTGAAGAAGACAGGATGTTTTGAAACTAACAGGAAGTTTCTTCTTCTTGTTCTTCTTTTCGGTATTATGGCGAGTGGCAACCAGCGTTAAGGTGCATTACCGCCACCTACTGTAACAGGAAATTTGAGTTTTACGTCATGTACTTGGACAGAAATCCGACTAACGGACTGAATCATGTAAACCAGGGTTTTCTGATTATCGCATCATTACTGAAGTGCATGTAAACGCGTCAGATCAGATTATTACCATTACCTGATTATTCCAAGTTATCTGATTATTAACGGACTCACTGTGCAGGATTTAGTGGCATCTAGGTTAGATTGCAGAACTAAAACGTCTCCTGTGTGTCAATCATATTGGAGTACCAGGGTGGCTGATGCAAAATGTGAATGGCCCTTTCTAGAGCGAGTGTTTGGTTTGTCAGTTCTGCGCTACTGTACAACAATATGGCGGACTCTGTGAGAGGGGACCCGCTCAGTATGTAGGGTAACAAAAACACAACAATTCTTAATGTCAGCTGATTATAACTGCAAACAGTTACAAATATTATATTACATTTCTTCCAATAGATGCTGCCAAATTCCACACACTGGACCTTTAACCAATTTTATGGCAAGTCATTAAACAGTTGTTGGGACATTTTCCTGTAAACCAGTATTAGGGAACCTGCAGCTCCTCTTTAGCCCCTCTCCAC